TAGCCATATCTCAGTCTTCACAATAAATTCCCAGCTGAATTATAGATTTAATGAACATAGGATGAAGCAAAAAAGATACCAAATGAAATGATGGGAAAGGAATTTTTTTAATTTCTGACAGCAAACCCAGAACTCATACGAGAAAAGATTGATAAATTCAACTATATAAAAATGGAAACTATCTGCATGACCCAGACCAGCAGAAGCAAAGACAGATGACAACCTTGGGAAAATATTTGCAGTGTATATCATAGACAAAGATGTAATTTCCCAGTCTGGGTACAGTGGCTTACACCTGTTATTCTAACACTCTAGGAGGCCGAGGCAGGTGCATTGCCTGAGCTCTGGGGTTTAAGACCAGCCTGAACTAGAGCAAGACCCCATCTCTAAAAATAGCTAGGCATTGTAGTGGGCACCTGTAGTCCCAGTTACTCCGGTGGCTGAGGCAAGAGAATCACTTGAGCCCAGGAGTTTGAGGTTGTTGTGAGCTATCACACCAGGGCACACTACTGAGGGTGACAAAGTGAGATTGTCTCAGAAAAAAGAAAAAAAAAACATAATTTCCATCATATATGAAGAGTTCTTATAAACTAAACAATTAGAAATAGATCAACATTCAGTAGGAACATGAGCAAAGGTTAAGAAGAGCAAAAAAATTATCAATGGTTCTTACTGTTTTGTTTGTTGAGACAGTCTCACGTCTGTTGCCCTGGGGTTGAGTGCTATGCTGTCATCATAATTCACAGCAATCTCAAACTCCCGGGCTCAGGTGATCCTCCTGCCTTAGCTTCCCAAGTAGCTGGGACTACAGGTACCTGCCACAACACTCGGCTAATTTTTGTTGTTGTTGTTTAGTAGAGATAGGGGTCAGGCTGGTCTCGAACTTCTGAACTCAAAGCAATTCATCTGCCTCAGCCTCCCAGATTATATGCATGAGCCACTGTGCTCAGCCTACCAGTGGTTCTTAAACAAATGAAAATATGCCCAATCTCAGCTATTATAGAAATCCCCCCACTTTGTTTTGAGATTACCTGTCAAATTATCAAAGGTCCAAAAGATATTTTATGCTGGTTGACCAGAGCATATGAAATCAGTATTCACCTACTTAATTCATGGTAGCCTGTGAAATTAGCACAACCTGTATGGTAAGTTAATTTGATAGTACCTATAAAAACTAAAGTGTTTTATAATAAATGAATACTTATTTTTATAATTAAAAAATAAAACTGGCTCAGCGCCTATAGCTCAACCGGCTATGGCGCCAGCCACGTACACCTAAGGTGGCGGGTTCGAATCCCCAGCCCCGACCCGCCAAACAACAATGACGGCTGCAACCAAAAAAAAAATAGCCAGGCGTTGTGGCGGGCGCCTGTGGTCCCAGCTACTTGGGAGGCGGAGGCAGGAGACTCGCTTGAGCCCAGGAGTTGGAGGTTGCTGTGAGCTGTAATGCCATGGCACTCTACCCAGGGGGACAGCTTGAGGCTCTGTCTCAAAAAAAATAAAAACTAAAGTGTATATTCCTTTGCCCCAGCTTTTGTACTTTTAGAAATTTATACTTCAGATACATTCACTCATGTAAACTTTTTTTCAAAATCAGTTCTACCACCGACCATGTGCAAATTGATATATATGTATGTAAAAGTGTTTATTACAACATTGTTTAGCTTCAGGAGAGCAAAAAATTGGAAACAACCTAAATAGCCCTCATTAGGCAACTAGTCAAATAAATCTGGTATGTTAAAAGAAGCAGTGATTTTAAACATATATTATTTTGTGACAAAATTTAGATGCAAACAGTGTAAGTGATATCCTACCATTTATGGGAATATTTTTGTTGGGGTTTTGGGGAGGTGGGGGGATATAGAGTATCACTTTGTTGCCCTTGGTAGAGCACATAAACAGCTCACAGCAACCTCCAACTCTTGGGCTCAAGTGATTCTCTTGCCTTAGCCTCCCAAGTAGCTAGGACTACAGGAACCTGCTACAACGCCCAGCTATTTTTATTCTATTTATTTATTTATTTTTGATACAGAGTCTCACTGTGTCGCCCTTGGTAGAGTGCTGTAGCCTCAACAGCTCACAGCAACCTCCAACTCCTGGACTTACGTGATTTTCTTGCCTCAGCCTCCCAAGTAGCTGGGACTACAGCTACTATATTTTTGTTGCAGTTCTCATTGTTGTTTAGCTGGCCTGGGCCAGGTTTGAACCCACCAGCCTCCGTGCATGTGGTCAGTGTTATAACCACTGTGTTAGGGGTGCCAAGCCATCTTGGCTGTTTTTTTGTTTGTTTTTTTGCAGTTTTTGGCTGGGGATGGGTTTGAACCCGCCACCTCCAGCATATGGGGCCAGCGGCCTACTCCTTTGAGCAACAGGCACCACCCGTGGGTTTTTGGTTTGTTTTTTTTTTTTTTTTTGAGATAGAGTCTCAAGCTGTCGCCCTGGGTAGAGTGCTGTGGTATCACAGCTCACAGCAACCTCAAACTCTTGGGCTTAATCAATTCTCTTGCTTTAGCCTCCCAAGCAGCTGGGACTAGAGGCACCTGCCACAACCCCCAGCTATTTTATTATTGCGGTTGCCATTGTTTTAGCCGGCCCTGGCCAAGTTCAAAACTGCCAGCCTTGTTATATGTGGCCTGCACCCTACGCACTGAGCTATGGGTGTCACCTCCCATCCTGGCTATTTTTAGAGATAAGGTCTCACTCTGGCTCAGGCTGGTCTCAAACCTGTGAGCTCAAGGCAGTGCATCTACCTCAGCCTCCCAGAGTGCTAGGATTGCAGGTGTGAGCCACCGTGCAAGGCTTTGTGGGAGTTTTTTATTGTGTTAAATTATATTTAACATAAAATTCATCAATTTAATCATTGTTTACAGTGTACAGTTCATTGGTTTTTAGTGCATTGATAATACTGTGCAACTATCACCACTGTTCATTTTTAGAACTTTTTTATTATCCCAAATAGAAACTCTATCATATTAAACAATAACTCTCCGTTTTCCCCTCTCCTTCCTCCTCCCCTTAGTAATCCGTTCTACTTTCTATGAATTTTGTCTATTCTAGGTACTACATACAAATAGAATTACATAATAGTTGTCGTTTTGTGTCTGGTTTATTTTATTTAGCATTCTTTTCAAGTTTCATCATACTACCATTGTACTGAATAATATCCTATTATCTGTATACCCCATTTTGTTTATCCATTCATATGTTGATAAGCATTTAGGTTGCTTTTACATTTTAGTTGTTGTGAATACTATCGCTGTGACCGTTGGTGTACAAATATCTGTTTGAGCCTCT